CGTGGGCCACAAGGTTTGTTGTGTTAAAGATGGTTAATAGGAAACGGAGACTGCTATCGATTACTCTGAGACAATCAACAAATTTACACTTCTTGAATGGGTACCCTCTACCTCGAATTGACGAATACAGTGAACAAAATTGCTCAGTACTACGTGTTTAGCACAATTGATCCTGCAGAGTGCCTATCATCAATCCCTATTAAGAATGAAGATAAACCATACACAGCTTTCAGGCTAGTGATGGCCTGTATCAGTTACCAGAGTCCCTTTTGAGTCACGCAATGGGGTAGCCTCCTTCCAACGAATTATGGATTCACTTCACTCATCAGGAAGAGCAACCTCATGGAAACCTACGCGTATTTAGATAATGTTACCATTTGTGCAAACCCGGAGGAACATGAAATTGCGAAACCTTGATAAGATTTGGAAGCCGCCAAGAAGAAAAAATCAGTTACAATGAGGAAAAGTTGCACTTTTTTCAACTAAAAGGCTTAGCATCCTTGTTATGTAGTGGAAGGAGGTTCAATATTCCCAGACCCTGAAGCGACTACGACCTCTACTGGAACTTCCAATGCCTCAAGACAAAAAGTCACTCCGAAGAACTCTTTGGTCTCTTTGCTTATACTCACAATGGATCTACAACTATTTTCCAAGTAAAGTCCGCCCATAGAGTGCTAACCACATTTCCTGTGACAAAGGTAAGCAGAAGCCGGCTTTCATACTCTCAAACGACAATTGAAAAACTCAGTAGTTCAAGCCATTGATGAGTCCCTACCATAATCGAAGTGGAAACGGATGCATCTGTACATTGCCATAGCTGCAGTCTTTTCATCAGGCAGACGACCTAGCCTTCTTTTCGAGAAACTTTTCCAAAGGATCAGAGAAATGTATGCTGCTGGTAGAAAAGGAAGCCCAGGCATCATAGAAGCAGTTCGCCACTGGAGCATTATTTTAGAACTGGTAGACCATTTCATATAAGGACTGACCAACGGTCTGTGATGTATATGTTCGACAAGAGGCACAAAAGTAGGATAAAGAATACAAGATATAACGCTGGAGGATGGAACTATCGTGTTTATGACTTTGATGATTCTGTAATCGACCGGGTCAAGAGAACATCTCAACCTATGCAATTCCTCTAGGTCCCACTGTGGAGCAGCATGCATGATTTGCATCACTCTCAAGCTCTCCACAAGGCTTTGTGTCACCCAAGAGTTACAACGCCTGGACCTTTTGGTCAAATCAAAGAACATGCCTACTCAGTGGAAGATGTGCGACAAGTGATCATAGCGTGCAGAGTATGGTGCAGAGGGCAAGAGCCAAACTTTTTCATCAGCCAGAGAAGACTCTTCTCATAAAATTCCACCCAAAAGCCTTTCGAAAGATTGAATAATAGATTTCAAAGGACCTCTACTACCAAGCACAAATCAGAATAGGTATTTCCTTAACATAGTAGATGAATATTCAAGGTTTTCCTCTTTGTATTCCCCTGTGCAAATATGGCTGCATCAACTGTTATTAGTTGTCTTTCACATTGTTCTCTATTTTTTGTATGCCAGCTTATATCCATTCAGACAGGGGATCCTCGTTCATGAGTACGAACTTCAGGAGTTTTTTGGCTACAAAGGTATTGCCTGCAGCAGAACAACAAGTTACAACCCTCAAGGCAATGTCCAAGTGGAGCGGTTCAATGGTACTAGTATGGAAGGCAGTTACAATGACATTAAAGTCGCGCAATCTACCTGTTCAACACTGCAAAACTGTCCTACCTATGCTCTTCACTCTATAAGATCACTGCTGTGCACAGCTACTAATGCACCCCTCATGAAAGATCCTCAACTAATCACGCGTTCCTCTACGGGAGCCTCCGTGCCCAACTTGGTTATGTCATCCTGGACCCGTCTCCTGTAAGAGTCACCGTAGGATGAACAAGACGATCTTTATGGAGAGAGGTAGAGCTCTGCAAGCTAATCCACATTACGCCCACAATCGCTACCAAAATGGTGAAGAGACTACAGTCTCTACAAGACATTTAGCACCAGTTGAAATCCCTATTAGTGTGGAAAAATCTCAAGATACACAATAGATGTGAAAGATGCTTCGTTTTTTCTACTGGGAAAGCCCTTGAGACTACCCTATGGAAATAGAGGATTCTGCTCCAGCAGTTAATCAAAACCCCGCTGTAAAATATCGAATGCTTGGTGAAGAGGCTCAAGGGCTACGAAGGTCGGGACGTTGTACGTTTGCCCACCTAACAGTTTTGGAGATTACTGTCTCTGCTGATATTTTAGAAGGGGAGATTTGTAGTGATACTGGTCTCTGTGGGGAGAGCAGCAGGATAATACTGCACCAGAGCCTCTAGGGGCCCTTAACAACAATAACAGTTTGGTGTGTGGTCATGGGCACCAAACACAAGGTTGTGATTCTCTCCTACTTTATCCCATTTTTCAGCGATGCCAGATTACAATGGTGATTTAAATATGTCCTGTAGTTATAAACTTTTTCTCTGAACATATGCAAGACATCACCATACCTGTAGAAGCCATTATTAGATGTACTAGTCATTATATTTTGTTGTTGCAGAAGTACTATGAAGATTCTATGTTCAATAAAGCCTAGAGATAAGGCCTGTGTTTCTATCACAACAATTTCTCACTGAAGTTTGGGATGTTAGTGTGGGGTATCCAGTAAATGGCACCGATTGTTATAGGCGTCTTAAGGTTTTTTACAGTAAAATTAGCAAATATGTATTCTCCATATTCATCACTAAAGCAATTGGTGCTGATACAGAGGCAGTAAATCGACAGACCATTCAACCAGGTGACATTGTGCTAATTGACACTGAACAACATCGAACATTGTGGCCTCTGGGCAAAGTACTGACATTGTACCCAGATGCACAAGGTGTTGTCAGGAATGTCAAAGTGTTGTGTCATGGCCAGGAAAGTTTACGCACAATTAATAAATTGATTCCCTTGGAATTAGGTGTTCAATCAAACGTAAATGAAAATCTGAGGGAAAGTGACATGAGTGATATGGAAGATAACGCAGACCAAGTGATGCCGGAAGATGAAATCGTAGTAAGACCTACTAGGAGAACAGCCACTCAAGCCAGAAATGGCTGGAATCGTCTCCTAAAGGAAGGAGTAATTTGAGTCGTTTAGCAACGAACTCCAGCCGGCCGCAGTGTGGAAAATACTGTATATATTTTCCAGAAATACAGTAGTTATATGTAAATAGATGGCCATACTGTATTTAATAATATTTATGTCATAGAAAACGGAAAGCCTGCGCCTGCACAGAAGGAGAGTCGCCATTTTGGTTTTTGAATTGGATACAACAACATTAGTGTAATGGGAAGGAATTTTCGTGCTCTAGAGGTTAAAATTGGGCTGACACCTCTCAAATAGGAGGCGAAATTGTTGGATGTGCATTCCTGCATAACTTGAGATATCAGGCGACAGGACAGGACAACTCCAGGAACCTCAGATAAGCTGTCTAATCTATGTTTAATTTCTGGCCAGTAAAATTTTCATAAATGTAGGCAAAAAGGGGGGGGGTCCTGTACATGACACATTAATCTCCAGTCAAATTGGTGAGTGTTATGATTAAGATATTCTCTTTCTGTTATATAAATGTGTGTATATACTATAACCCTTTTTTAATTTTAATATACAGTCCACAAATTTATATATTTACCAGCATTCCTGGTGTATGTATATTTCATTTAATTAATAGGTCCAGAGCAACTTGTGGATATGACTGTGGTAGGTATCGAAGGGGGACATTTTTGCGACCTAGGTGTCCCAAATTCCTACTTGTCTAACTGATAAATAATAATTATCTATGTTCATTTATTGTTATGTACATAATGATACATTCAGATAAATGCAATTTTCTACAACTGCTTTTCACACAGTTGAGTTACATCGCTGTTTCAACATTTAAGGTTTTAATAATAAGATATTACAAGGACCCCGATGGAAATAAGTCACTTGACGTTTTTAGGTTATCCTACGTAATCTACACATATGCTCCCACATACGATAATTTATGTAACTGTAATTATGTGTACCTAAAACTGAATAAACTTATTAACACAACTGATCCTGTGTTGTGGTAACACTGCTTACGCTGTGTTGTGGTAACACTGCTGAATTTGTGTTATGGCAACACTGCTGACAACATTTCCACTTTGTTATTGATTGTGAGGAAGACTCAGTACTGAGGATGACCACTGTAAGTAACCTGTACTCAGTACTGAAGATGACCACTTAAGTAACCTGTACTCAATACTGAGGATGACCACTGTAAGTAACCTGTACACAATACTGAGGATGGACCACTGTAATAAACCTGTACCAATACTGAGGATGAAATACTGTAATAACCTGTAAACAATACGAGGATGACCACTGTAAGAACCTGTACTCAATACTGAGGATGACCACTTGTAAGTAACCTTACTCAGTATTGAGAGGATGACCACTGTAAGTAACCTGTACTCAATACTGAGGATGACCACTGTAAGTAACCTGTACACAATACTGAGGATGACCACTGTAAGTAACCTGTACTCAATACTGAGGATGACTACTGTAAGTAACCTGTACTTCAAACAGAGGATGACACTGTAAGTAACCTGTAACTCAATACTGATGATGACCAAAGTAAGTAACCTGAACTCAATACTGAGGATGACTCACTGTAAGTTAACCGTACACATACTGAGTATGACCTCTGTAAGTATCCTGTACTCAATACGAGGATGACTAACTGTAAGTAACCTGTACTCAATACTGAGGATGACCACTGTAAGTAACCTGTACACAATACTGAGGATGACCACTGTAAGTAAACCTGTACTCAGTACTGAGGGATGACCCTGTAAGTAACCTGTACACAATACGAGATGAACACTGTAAGTAACCTGTACTCAAATACTAAGGATTGACTACTGTAAGTAACCTGTACTCAATACTGAGAGGAATGACCACTGTAAGTAACCTGTACTCAATACTGAGGATGACCACTGTAAGTAACCTGTACTCAATACTGAGGATGACTACTGTAAGTAACCTGTACTCAATACTGAGGATGACCACTGTAAGTAACCTGTACTCAGTATTGAGGATGACCACTGTAAGTAACCTGTACTCAATACTGAGGATGACCACTGTAAGTAACCTGTGCTCAATACTGAGGATGACTACTGTAAGTAACCTGTACTCAGTACTGAGGATGACCACTGTAAGTAACCTGTACTCAATACTGAGGATGACTACTGTAAGTAACCTGTACTCAGTATTGAGGATGACCACTGTAAGTAACCTGTCTACCTGGAGTTTACCTGGAGAGAGTTCCAGGGGTCAACACCCCTGCGGCCCGGTCTGTGACCAGGCTTCATGGTTGATCAGGGCCTGATCAACCAGGCTGTTACTGTTGGCTGCACGCAATCCGACGTACGAGCCACAGCCCGGCTGGTCAGGTACCGACTTTAGGTGCTTGTCCAGTGCCTGCTTGAAGACAGCCAGGGGTCTATTGGTAATCCCCCTTATGTATGCTGGGAGGCAGTTGAACAGTCTTGGGGCCCCTGACACTTATTGTGTTGTTTCTTAACGTGCTAGTGACACCCCTGCTTTTCATTGGGGGAATGTTGCATTGTGTGCCGAGTCTTTTGCTTTTGTAGTGAGTGATTTTAATGTGCAAGTTTGGTACTAGTCCCTCTGGGATTTTCCAGGTGTATGTAATCATGTATCTCTCCTGCCGGCATTCCAGGGAGTACAGGTTTAGGAACTTCAGGATGACGACTGTAAGTAACCTGTACTCAGTACTGAGGATGACCACTGTAACCTGTACTCATTAATGAGTATGACAACTAAAAGTAACCTGTACTCATTACTGAGGATGATCACTATAACCTGTACTCAGTACTAAGGATGACCACTGTAAGTAACCTGTACTAAGTATTGGGGATGGCAACTGTAAGTAACCTGTCTACCTGGAGTTTACCTGGAGAGAGTTCCGGGGATCAACGCCCCCGCGGCCCGGTCTGTGACCAGGCCTCCTGGTGGATCAGCGCCTGATCAACCAGGCTGTTGCTGCTGGCTGCACGCAAACCAACGTACGAGCCACAGCCCGGCTGATCAGGAACTGACTTTAGGTGCTTGTCCAGTGCCAGCTTGAAGACTGCCAGGGGTCTGTTGGTAATCCCCCTTATGTATGCTGGGAGGCAGTTGAACAGTCTCGGGCCCCTGACACTTATTGTATGGTCTCTTAACGTGCTAGTGACACCCCTGCCTTTTCATTGGGGGATGTTTGCAACGTCTGCCAGTCTTTTGCTTTCGTATGAGGTGATTTATCGGTGTAAGTTCGGTACTAGTCCCCTCTAAGGATTTCCCAGGTGTAAATAATCATGTAACTCTCCCGCCTTGCATTCCAGGGAATTCAGTTTAGGAACCTCAAGCACTCCCAGTATTGAGGTGTTTTATCTGCGTTATGGCGCGCCAGAGGTTCTCTGTACATTTTCTAGTCAGAAATTTCACGCTGCCTTGAAAGGTGGCTTGTTAGTGTGCAGCAAATATTCCAGCCCCTAGATAGAACATTGGACCTGACGAGTGTCATCAATGGTCTTGCCTCCCTAGTTTTGAAGGTTCTCATTATCCATCATGTCATTTTCTAGCAGAATGCATTGATACAATGTTATGGCCCTTGAAGGTGAATCCTCTCGACATGATCACCCCAGTCTTTGACGTTGGTGTTTCGCTCAATTATGTGGTCCAGAATTTGTTTGGTACTCTGATGAAGATTTAATTTTCCATCATGTTTACCAATCTGAGTAATGAAATTTCCTCATCGTTGAACTTCATATTGTTTTCTTCTGCAGCCCACTGAAAGATTTGGTAGATGTCCGCGCCTGGAGCTTGCCCCCAATTTTTGGGGGGGGGGGTCTGCATGGAAGACACTGTCATGCCAGATTCGGGTGTCATCTGCAAAGGAAGACATGGTGCTGTGGCTGACATCCTTTTGTCTATGTGGATATGAGGATGAGGAACAAGATGGGAGTCGAGTACTGTGCCTTGTGGAACAGAGCCTTTTCACCGTAGCTGGCTGCCTTCGGACTTTACTCTGTTGTACGACTACTCTCTGTTGTTCTGTTAGTGAGGAAATTATAGATCCAGTCCGACCTGACCTTTCCTGTTATTCTTTAGCACGCATTTTGTGTGCTATTAACGCCATGGTCACACTTGTCGAAGGCTTTGCAAAGTCGTATATATTACATCTGCATTCTTTTTGTCTTCTAGTGCATCTAGGACCTGTCCTTAGTGTATCCAATAAGTTGAGAAAAGACAGGAGCGACCTGTCTAAACCCATGTTGCCCTGGGTTGTGTAACTATGGGTTTCTAGATGGGTGGTGATCTTGCTTCTTTAGACCACTTTCAAAGATTTTTATGATATGGATGTTAAGTGCTATCGATCTTAGTTCTTTGCTTGTTTGCTTTACTGCCCCCCCTTTGTGGAGTGGGGCTATTTCTTGTTTTTAGTAATGTTGGGACGACCCCCGTGTCCATGGCTCCCTCTCCAAGGATGGAAAAGGCTCATGATAGGGCTTCTTTGCCGCTCATGATGAACACGGAGTCCACGAGTCTGGCCCTGGGGCAGAGTGCATTGGCATGTCATTTTTCGCCTTGTTTCGAAGTCATTAGGCTTCAGGATAACATAGATGAGGCTTGTGTTAACAAAATTCTTGTGGCTCTCTCATAAAAAATTTCATTTTGATCTTCGACTCTCAGTCTGGTAAGCGCTTCTAAAAACTGAGTCATATTGGGACTTGAGTAGCTCACTCATTTCCTGCTGTCAATCTGTGTAGGACCCAATCTTGTTAAGTAGGGCCCAATACGGACGTGTTCTCGAATTGATGTTGGCATAGATGAAGAAATACTTTGGGTTTCTTTCATTTCATTTATGGCTTTTAGTTCTTCCCCCCGCATTTCCTGACGTCCTATAAGATTCCTTTAGCTTAAGTTCGATGCTTGCTATTTCTCTGACACAGTGTCACCCTACACATTTTCAGATAATATTTGACCTCTTTTAGTAGCCGCTCTGTTATTCTTTTCATCGCCTGTATAGGGAGCACCTGTCCCTCTTTCTATTTTACATCTACTCTTCCTTTTTCTTAGGAGAATAAGCCTTGTGCATACATCGAGTGCCACCAATTTACTCTGTTCTAGCATAAGTTGGGTCTGAGTTCTTAGTAATCTTCCCACTTATATCGTTAGGACTGGTTTACTTGGTCCCACTTTATGTTTTGTTATTGAAGTGAATTTGGTGAATTCCCCTCGTGACTAATCTCATTATGTTCCGGTCTGGGGCTCCACGCATACATGTCTGAACCTCAATTATGTTGTGATCTGAGTATATTGTTTTTGATATGGTGACATTTCTTATCAGATCATCATTGTTAGTGAAGATGAGGTCTAGTGTATTCTCCAGTCTAGTAGGCTCTATTATTTGCTGGTTTAAATTGAATTTTGTGCAGAGATTTAAAAGCTCGTGTGAGTGTGAGTTTTCATCAGAGCTGCCTCCTGTACTCACTATTGAGGACGACAGCTGTAAGTAACCTGTACTTTGTACTGAGGATGACAACTGTAAGTAACCTCAATGAAATGAGCTGGGTTTGATGGGATAAAGATAGATAAGTTAAAAGCAGGTGGGGATATAGTTTTGAAGTGGTTAGTATTTTTATTTAATAAGTGTATGGAAAAGGGTAAGGTACCTAGGGATTTTCCTTCTATATTTTATTAAAAAAACATGGCATTACATGAAATAAATATATAAAAACACATGACAACCTATAGTATTAATACTAACCTACCGTCGTCAAGCAGAACACCACACTCACAACTATGTGTGGATACCACCCCCATCCCTGTTCCCCTTTCCCATGAACTGTCCCAAATCTTATATTCATTTCATCAAACCTGTTGGATCCACCCAACAGAATTACATACATATAAACAAATCTGATATCCTGTACATCCCGATAGGGTGTACACACATAGAGGCTGCAGACAGCCTCTTCCATCCCACAGTGATGGCATACCTCCGACCACAAGAAATTCGTGACACTATCATGAAATACATAGCACCGACATAAGTATTTCCTATATTTACTTCTAGGGATCCTATAAAAATACCCCCTCCCCCTGGTGGTTATCCACCCCTCCCCCTGCTATTCACAACCTGACAGACATATACTATTATAATAATGGCTATTTGCTCAAAATCCTGAGCACATAAACATGTGCAGACCAACAAACGCTCACTAACACCACTACAGGTTATGTACCTATAAATCAATAAAAAAAACCAATACAGTGCAAAGCACACAAAATAAATATTAAACAATTACATTTAACCAACAGGATATGGCATGCAAACATATATTTCCAGTATCTCTTCAAGTAATAATTCATTGCAAGCACACATAACAGATATTGATCAAATACGTTTAACAAACATGCTAAGACATGCAGATATATAGTGACAGTACCTCCTCAAGCAATAACGCCACACACCTTAATTACAAAATTATATCAGAACATCTCACCGAACACTATTCAAGCTCTCAGGCCAAACAGGCCAAAACGTGCAATTATCTAGTGACTGTGCCACTTCATGCAATAATGCCACACACGTGAAATACAAAGTACGTATATCACATCATCTCTCTGAACACTGTTCAAACTCTCAGGCCAAACAGGCTAAGACATGCAGATCACTAGTGACAAACAATAATGCCACACACATTAAATACAAAACTATATAACATCTCTCTGAACACAGTCAAAACCTCCAGCCTCACACCATTCATGCAAACCCCCAGAACAAATGTTGAAGCAATGACATGAAACAAACAGGATAAAACATCCAGAGTACAGTGACAGTACTTCCTTCAAGTAATAATGCCACACACATGAAATAACAAAATTATATCAGAGCATTCAGCGAGCATAAACGGTAATGCTATATGAAGAAGCTTATCACACAAATTTTGTACCACACTCAAAGCCCACCTCCAACTAACCCTTCTAACTCACAATCCTACACACACAAACAGTCAAACCTCTGCGACACACCCCATACACAACAATCCTCCTTCCCCCCCGGGGAAGGCC